ACCATTCAAAACCCGGGGGGGGGGGGTTTGGGGCAAAGGGGCCCCCCCCCCCCCCCCGGTAACCCTCCCGGTTGGGAAAATTCCCCCCAAACCCTTTCCCGGGCCCCCCCCCCCCCCCCCCCCCCTTGGTGTTGTTCGAGAAGGTGGCTCAAATGAGGGCTACGGGGGTAGAGGCGGCGTATATCAACTCAGAGCAGGACTACGACAGCGAGGTGAAAGGAAGCGTCATTCTTGTTGTTTTTTCGTGTTTTGTTGTTGCGGCGGGAGGACGTCCACACAACCTGTTGTTTCGTGGGAAAGGAGCAACCGGCTTTTGGGTACGAGGCGGCGACAACAACATTAACACCGCCACCAACAACAACCACCAGCCAGCGGTATCAACAACAACAACAACGCCATTAGCAGCAGCGAAGTCAGCAAACCACACGAGTAACAACAACAGCGGCAGGCATAACTTTCTTCAACATTTCCTACACACGCGTCCCGCTGGAGGTTGGAAGACTTTTCGACAAAGACTTTCTTCAACTTTTCCGCGCACGCATCGTGTTGGTGGTTCGAAGAGGTTTCGACGAATCATCTCTGCGAAAAAACCCATGCCCGCCCGACCAACGCTGCGAAAGAGCAGCGTGCGCCGTTTTCATCCGCCCTCCCATATTGATGCCGTGCTTGGTGCCACCTGTGACGCGGTACTTCTTGGATTCCACGTGGTACACGGGACGGAAACCATCAGGTCCGGGTGGTGATGGACCAGCTGTACCGCTTGCAAGACTACGGAGGGCTCAAGCTACTCTACATCACGCCAGAGAAGTTCTGCCGAAGGTGTGTGTGTGTGTGTGTGTGGATGTGTCTAATGCTGTGGCATTTTGTCTGTTCGTCGTTCGCGTACGTGTATTGTATATACTACGCACTTTGGAAACACTCCCGCAGGCAGTAAGAAGAGGTGGAAATAGGCAGCAAGAAGAAGTGGGAATAGGCAGCATGAAGAAGTGGGCATAATAGGCAATAAGAAGAAGTTTCTTTCTATGCCAGTCAAAGCTCAACTTCCGTCCCCCCGCCCGAACAGCCTTCCGGCTTCCGGCAATTTTGTCTCACTGCTCAAGTATTGTTTCTAACGCTGTGGTTGCTGTTTTCGTCGTTGTTGTTGTCGTCGCCGTCGCAACAATACCCGTTCCGATCTTTGCTCAGTACCTCCTATCATCGACACTGGTCCAATCCCCCCCGTTTCTTTCTGCTGCTTTTGTTGTGTGTGGTCTTGGCGCCGACCAGTCCGTCTATGAACAAAGCGCTGCAGCGCCTGCACTCCAAGGGGCTCCTTTCTCGGTTCGTCATCGACGAAGCACACTGCGTCAGCGAGTGAGTGTCGGTCAGGGAGGGCTACTCATACTCATGTAAAGGCATTCCAGTCGCCCCGGTGGTCTGGTTGGTATCCTCGAAACCTTCTAGAGGCCAGGTCAGGGGTTCGGATCCCGGCGTAAGCGAGCTTTTCTTGCAAAGTGAGTTTTTCTCTCGCTTCCGCTCCTGGCCTAGTGGATAGCGCTAGTTCGTGTGTACACAGAGGGAAGAGAGTGCTGACCTCTTCTCGCATTAAAAATCAAAGTACCGCTGGAGGGGAGGGTAGAGAGGGGCCCTTCTGTGTGACCACGGGTTGGAGTAAACGGCACTAGTGCCTTGAGCGCTGATTTGAAGTGAAGACAAAAAAAAAAATGCACACTGCGTCAGCGAGTGTCAGTCAGGGAGGGCTACTCATACTCATGTAAAGGCATGCCGTAGTCGTTAGGCCATTGACCTCGCATTCCTATTCCTACACTGCCGGGACGGAGCGATATGCCGGGTTATCGCTACGTCTCACAAGGGTGGACCAGCAACTGGTCATCATCCTTGGGGGGGGGGAGGGGGCGAAAGACAAGGCTTGAAAAGCAGGGGGGGGTACAACGGGTTCGCTGCTCGCTCTACTAGTTTGGCCCAAAGGCAAAGCCTGCTGTGCTGCGAAGCGGATGGTTGTTTTTTAGGCTGTTTTTTTTAGCGGGGAGGCTTGTACCGCCGTGGCGAAGCTTTTTTTGTGGTACGGTATTACCGTAAACCGCTATCCGCCTCTTCCTCTTCCCTTCCCTGTACTCCCTCTTTTCTTTGTTCCTACAGCTGACACACACTCCTCTTTATGCCTTATTTGCTGGGCTGCGGTTCTCGAACACCCCCTGAAACATGTCCACGCTCATTCCCCCCTGTTTTGTCGGTGCTACCCACCTTGTGTTTTATATTTTTCCTTACTTTGGCGGTTGTTGCCTCTTGTCCTCCCGCGCCCCCGCCCCCACCCACCTCCCACCTCCACCTACCTCTTGATTTTTTTTGTGTATTTTGTTATTAGCATCGACCGGGCTAACTGACTGACCAATAAAGACGTCAGTCTCAGCGCGGTTGAAAACACCAAAAGCTTCTAAAGGATACCATGACCTAGGACGCCGTGTTGGGGCGTGGGGCGTCATGGGGGAGGCTATCCTAC